ATATGTATTTTTTTCAATAATAGAATTTGATTTGAAATACAGAGAATATAAAGTTTTATAGCTCTACCTGGAAACAATTTTTTCTTGAGATTTGGGGTAGGGAACAGGTGTCTCTTCTTAACAGGATATTCAACTATAATAGTTTTGGAAGATGTTAACTAATATGCTTATCTCTCTTAAAAAAAAAAAAAAGGAGGTATTGTCAGACATTTTTCCAGGGTAAACTGCTACCCAAAAGCAGTTTGTTTTGTCTAAAAAACAAATTATATTCTATTTGTGAGCCCCACAATTGACAGAAAACAAAATGACTATATTATATCCTTGAGATATATTACAGTTTACTTATCAAATACTGCAATACAATGAGAAAGAGCTGGTTAATGTAACAAAAGAGAAATAAAATCACTCAATTCTTATCTCTCAAACCATAACTTGTTAAAAATTTGAAATAATTCTCACAATAAAGGAATTAAAGGAGAAATTATATGCTAGGTAGTTTCCAAATCTGTTTCAGAAAGCAAAGCCAAAAAATTCAAAAATTCACTACAAGCAATTATCTTTATCTCTTGTATTTCTTATTTTCCATTTGTATGCATTCATTTTCCTAAGTTTCCCCTCAAATGGTGCCACCAGTATTTAAAGGAAAGATACACTATTTTTCCTTCTGAATCCTAAGAAGGCAAACAGTGTAAATAAGGGTGTAGGTTTTTATAACTTAAGAAATGGCCTCTGTTCTCAGAAACGATTTTAATTCTTATTCTTTTTTCTTCTTTTCCTTTTTTTTCTTTTTTTTTTTAGACGGCATCTCGCTCTGTCACCCAGGCTGGAGTACAGACGCATGATCTCAGCTCACTGCAACCTCTGCTTCCGAGGTTCAAGTGATTCTCCTGCCTCAGCTTCCCGAGTAGCTGGGACTGCAGGTATGTGCCACATGCCCAACTAATTTTTATATTTTTGATGGGTTTTGCCATGTTGGCCAGGTTGGACCAGAACTCCTGACCGCAGGTGATCCACCCACCTCAGCCTCCCAAAGTGCTAGGATTACAGGCGTAAGCCACCACACCCAGCCCTTAATCAGTTTTTACAGGTTCTAGATAATTCTGAATTAAATTCCTGGTTGCTCTGTAGGCATAGCTTTCATTGTAAATAGATGACTTTCAAATATTTAGAATTGTAACTTACAAAGTATACTATTTACAAATGTAATTTGGAGTTATGCTTAGTAAGTTGACTAAAAGAACAGACTGACAAAAAAAATATTATAGCAAAAATATCAATGATGTTACAATGTGAAACATCTAGAAATTCACCATCTAGAAATAACTATACCACTCACCACAATGGCAATATATAGGCCCTAAATTACTATTATTGCTAAAATTATTTAATAAATGATAGTTTTAAGAAACACAACTTAGAAGTTAATGGCAATACTGTAAGAAAACCCCAAATCTTTGATACTAATACTGATCTTGTCTTAAGATAATTTCTGAGTTGTACAGTAGACTAAACAGGGAAGTTTCTATAGATTGACTTGTCTGAATAAGCTGTTCCAACTATTTCATTAATAATTTCTTCAAGCTCAAACTCATCAGCAGTCTTGATGTATGCAAATGAAAAACAATAGAGAGTAACTAAGGTACAGATTGAATAAACCTTACGCAAAATGCTGAGAACCAGAAGTGACTGGATTTCAGATTTTGAGGAGACTTCAGAACATCTGCATTTTCCTTACCGGTTGGGCAACCCGAATCCAAACATCCAAAATCTGAAATGCTCCAACAAGCATTGCCTTTGAGGGTCTGGTTGGCACTCAAAATGTTTCAAATTTTGTAGCATTTTGGATTTCAAATTTCCAGATTAGAGATATTCAACTTGTATATTTTCAAATTTCCTATGAATCATTTCACTTTCCTGGACTTGTGACAAGTGTGGTATATGTTAAATTGTAAATCATTTTGCTTCTCTTTGTTCTCCATCCTCTCTAGAGCTTAAGCACAGATTTGAACCAACCATCATAACCAAAAACATTATGAGATACGAACAGATCTCAGGAATTACCCATGACTTGAAAGCAGTGACAATACCTTCAATCTCACTCTATGTTCTTTTTCAAAAATATCTGATGAAAGAATCAATTATATTAAGTAAACAACTGCTGATCAAAGTAAAAACTTATTTTACCAATAAATTAAGATAAATTTAGGAATCCCAAGCAGCTATTTTCTGAATCTTTCCTTCAACTGCAAAATAAACACTATTTTGCTTGAATTTTTTTTTTTTTAACTTCATTTGAGAGACTAGTTTGAAACATTTGGTGCTTTTGGAGAATTGTCTGAAAGTATAAAAGATCATATAAATAATGAGAAAAAATGAAAAATACCTTAAAGGAATAATGAGCTCATTAAATTAAAATAACAGTAGAAAATGGGACGGGCGCAGTGGCTCATGCCTGTAATCCCAGCACTTTGGGAGGCCAAGGAGGATGGATCACAAGGTCAAGAGATGGAGACCATCCTTGCCAACATAGTGAAACCCCGTCTCTACTAAAATACAGAAATTAGCTGGGTGTGGTGGCACACGCCTGTAGTCCCAGCTACTCCAGAGGCTGAGGCAGGAGAACTGCTTGAACCCAGGAGGCGGAGGTTGCAGTGAGCCAAGATTGCACCACTGCACGCCAGCCTAGCACCTGGCAACAGAGCAAGACTCTGTCTCAATAAATAAATAAATAAATAAATAAATCAGTAGAAAAAGCAATCAAGAAAACCAAATATCTTTATAACAAAACTACCTAACCCAAAAAACAAACAAACTATAAGTCTCTCACAGTGACGTCTTTATTTCAGGCAAAAAAGAATTTATGTAGCTATTTGAATTTCATTGTACTGTACTAGAATTTGATCTCATAAATAAAGTCTCCTTTTCTATCAAAGCTATTCTATATCCTAAGAGCCCCATAAACTGATTTGCTATTTAATTTTAACATTATAAATAATGATTTCACAAGACTTTCATTCAACTACAAATCTTAATATTTTATCTTTTTGCTACTGGTGTAGAAAAAAGAATTATATATATCAGTATATATACATGAAATATATGTTTATATAAATACATGCTTTATGTATGTTTACATACTTATATAATTTATAAATATATACTTTTATACTTACATATAAAAAGTGTATATCTATATACACATACACACACACACACACACACACACACACACACACATATCAGAAATACTTTTATCACAAAGTGTTTAGTATTTGTTCTGGACAATTTCTCTAAAGTATTTAAATTATGTTTAGGTTTCCTCTGGAGAAAAAACACTTCTAGCCTGAATTAAATGGCTACTGATTCAAAGGCTAGTATAAGCACACCTAATTCCACATTGTTATCCGGTAGATGAAAGAGCTTACAAGGGAAAATAACTAAAATAAATTGTAAAAATGTAAGACAATTAGAGAAATATGGAAGGTGCTAAAAGTGACAGACACAGAAGCACCTGGAAAATAGAGGCTATAAAATAGTTAACTCCCAGAACAAGCAGAAATAGAGGCCAGGTGCCAGAGAAGAAGGAGACTCAACATGCATATGAAGAGGAAGAGCACACTCCTGCAGTTAAGTACTGATCAGAAATACTAAATAGGAAGGCTGTACCCTTTACTTGGGTGTCTTTCATAGAAAGAAGCCCTCAATAAAAAAGTATGAACTAACTGTGCTCCAAAAGTCTATGAGCTAGTTTCAGGTAAGAAACTCCACTGGAGCCAGTATTAGAAACAAAAAGCCTCCAATTCCCACAGGAATTGTCCTATAAAAAATAAAGTGTAAAGCAATTAATTCACAGCCCAACTTCAAACATGAAAACATTTAAAAACAACAAAGTGACGCTTTTCTGCAATGCACACTAGACTTCAATTGAACACTCCTTCTCCCATGTATAATCAGTATTTTTCTAAAGTTACAAAAATTACTGGTTCTATTTCAAATTTATACAAGAACAAAGTAGACAACAAAAGGCACCCAAAGTGTTTACCTCAAGAAAAAACATTTTAAACTGCACATCTGTTTTTTATTCTTAGGAAAAAATGACCTTCCTTTTATTAACTATATGCACTAATTCTCATCACAAATGTGTACTAATTATAGGATCAAGGTATCAGTTACAACTGTTAATCAAATCAGCAGTGAAATTGACAGGACCTTTAAACTGGATGTGACCAGAAGAACTAAGTTTGGAAAATCTGAAATGGAAATAAAAAAGATGCTAAGTGTATTCTCCGTCAAAGGTCTTTTGGTCAAGGTGCAGAACAAGACAGACTTTGTTCTTTGGTGGTAACAAGGTGTGGGTTGTATGTGCACACAGAGTAAGTAGGTTAGAGCTTCCTGGCTCCAGCAGCTCTAGGGAGCTAAATGAATGGGACGACAAGTAAAGCGGATATGAGGTTGCACTAGTTTTTTAAGGATAGCCTCTTACAATCAGAAACACAAACTTTAGAGTAACAATTTCAAAGCTGTTTGCATTTACTAAATATATTAAAGCATTTTGTTTTTCTTGGTAATTAGCCACGTTGCTCTTTCATATGTCAGGCTGAATCAGGTGTGCTATGCAGAAACAGGCTATGCATTTGGGCCACAGGCAGACTGGGGTTTTAGAGGAGCCTGTAATAATAGCAGCAACGGGAGTCAAGGTAACAACAACTTTTGGAAATGTGAGGGCAAGAAGACAGACAAATATGAGGTCCAATGTACAACCACGTCTCCACATATGTGGAGAAATCTTCTGGATCAAATGTTTATTTTGTTTTTTTCAAAACACTTTCCCAACAATCCTCACTTTCATAGGATGGTAGAATCAAAGTACGTCAAAAAATACGAAGTAAAACCTCAATTCACAGGCTAGAGATTAATTTAACAGAGATATTGATACAGTTGGAGGGGTCTAAAATGGAGATTTCCATAGTACATAGTTTAAATAACTTTTAAAGACTCACCTGTAGGCTTAACTGAATAAAACCCAATGGCCTCTCCTTTCTTCCATAGAATCTTAGCATAATCAGTACTGCTATGACACAGGAATGGGATCTCATTTCTCTCCATTTCCTGTTTTCTATAAATAATTCGATTCAGAACATACAGAACCACTCTCTCCCCAAGAGTGCTCACCTACAAAGAGAGTCAAACACCAGGCACAGTAGTTATAATATGTATCAATCAGAAGATGCTATTTACCTTGTTCCCTGCTCCCATACCTCATCCTGGCATTCAAAGCACTTCAAATACATTTAAAACAATTTGCAAAACATTTTATTACCACAGAGATGAGACTAATCATTCACACAGATTACAATCCATTTCCACAGACACATAACATGCATAGAATACTGCCTTTCGACAAAATTCTAAGCTGGGCAAAACAGGTTCCCAATGTACCAATCCCCAGCATCTGGGGTCTCGCCATCTTCTTTCTGCTTCTAGCTGCCCAGATCCAGGGTCTCACCAACCCTAATCACAGCCCTCACTATAGTAAACTACTTCAACTGTTTTTCAGTCTCCACATTATAAAAAAAAAGAAAAACAACAACAACAACAAAAAAAAAACTTAGTGTTATCCCCTGAACACTTTAAGAACAATTACATCATTTGGTGAGGGAAGCCATAATTATGTTCTTGGGAAAGAAATGTGTCTCATCTTTTCCTGGTAAAATGTTCATTTAACAGCCCTATCTTTGCTGTCGACAAAGACAGGGACACCAAAGAAATCTAATAAAAACACACTTGAGGCAATAATAGAACAGAAACAGAGCCTCACTTCCTACACACAGGGCTAGACGGTCACAGGGACCCCACCAACACTCAGAACATTCTGATATCAAATGGTGAGATTTTGTCATACACAGGCCAAGTGGGGTGGCTCACACCTGTAATCCCAGCACTTTAGGAGGCCAAGGTGGGTGAATTGCTTGAGCTCAGGAGTTTGAGACCAGCCTGGGCAACATGGCGAAATCCCGTCTCTACACAAAATACAAAAATTAGCCAGGTGTGGCCATGCACACCTGTAATCCCAGCTACTCAGGAGGCTCAAGCAGGAGGGTCACTTCAGCTCAAGAGGGTGAGGCTGCAGTGAGCTGTGATTGCGCCACCACACTCCAGCCTGAGTGACAGAGTGAGACTGCCTCTCAAAAAAAAAAAAAAAAGTACATAAGTCTATTTTCTCCCACGTCTCTTAAAGGAAAACAAGTTCAGCCTCTAATTAGTTTAGTGGATAGAGAAAAGATTGATCAAATATATACACTACTCTCAAAAATACCCCTGGCAGGGGATCTCATATACCAAACACAGGAAATAACAGCTGACTAGCAATAGCTTCCAAGGCAACCCATTCCTTCCTTGCATGGTTCTAACAATTCTTCCTTATTCAGAGCTGAAATCTACTTCTCAAAGACTGTATTTTGATATTCTGCAGCCACATAGCCTATAAAAAGATAGCCATGATGTTTCCCTAAATTTCAAGCCAAAGTTAAAAATGGGAATAAATAAAGGAAAAGGCTAATCTAACATAATTTGGGGTACTCTTGTCATTATAGTTCTCTCTCTTGAAACTGCTCCAGATTCGTAACATCTCTCTTTATGTTTGGGATATGGACATCATGAAGACATTTTGAAGGTACTGCTGAGAAAATGGGGCTTTTCAGTATAAACTTAAGGTCTGTATTAGCTTTTTTGCTTATCTGGATTTTATTGTGAATTAATTAAAGCCTAATACTTTTTCATATGTACTGCTGTTTCAGTTTGGTGTTCATGGTGTATAGTTAATTTTTTGAACCTATAGGTATTACGTTTCTCCGTATTTATTATGTTAGAGCTTTCTCTTTGATTCTTAATTCTGCCCTTCACAAATTAGCTCCTCCATTCAGCACTGTGACATGCAGAATTGATAAGCATCCCATCTATGTCTTCCCCTAAGTCACTGACAAAATAAAGGACACAGAAGGACAAAGTTTTGCAGCATGCTCCTGAGGGCCTTCCTTCCACATAATTGAGCATCAGGTTCCAGGTACAGAGAGGTTTATAAAAATAAAGTCACTTGCTCAGAGTCATGTGTTTGTTAAGTACAAAAATGGTTACTCCCTCCTGTAACTTTACCAACCAATTTTTTCTTATCAGCCAGGATTTGACTGGAATAGCAGTCCCCCTTCACTGATTTCTCAAATTAAGAGGGAATGTAGGCCAGGCATGGTGGCTCACACCTGTAATCCCAGCATTGTGGGAGGCCAAGACAGGTGGATCACTTGAAGTCAGGAGTTCGAGACCAGCCTGGCCAACATGGTGAAACCCTGTCTCTACTAAAAATACAAAAATTAGCTGGGCAAGGTGGCACACACCTATAGTCCTAGCTACTCGGGAGGCTGAGGCAGGAGAATCACTTGAACCCGGGAGGTGGAGATTGCAGTGAGCTGAGATCACGTCATTGCACTCCAGCCTGGGTGACAGTGAGATTGTGTCAACAAAAAACGAGGGAATGTTGTCCCTAAGGTAACTAAGGCTGAAGGAGTCCAAACGGTTATGGTCTTATTTTTGGTTGTGACTCCTCCTCTTTTCCCAAGTCATATCTGGAGGTTTATAGTTTCTTCACTTGAATAGGAAAAGCTACAATATACCATCATAGTAAGATTTTCCCTTCTCCATCCTTTAGCCTATATACCTATCATGTGTCAAACCTCTGTCATGTTAAAACACATCAGAATGTTTATTTTCTTAATGTACATACTTCCTTTCACTATCAGAACTTTTCCTGAGAACAAGTTATCCTTCTTTATTGCTATCTACTCTTCCAATGTTACAGCTTTATATAGGGATTTAACTCCCCCTTTCCTTCAGTTTTTGTTCAAAGTTTCTTATCAGACTGGCTGATAACCAGGTATACACATTCTCCTAGCCTTCGGCAAATAGGCCTATCACTCTGGGAATCTTAAGGCACATTGAAGAATTAATGCAATATCCAAAAGTTACTAATACTTTACAATACTAAGCGTATTATTCTCATATCCTCCCATCTCTTTCAAAGTTCCCAACTCAAAGGGAAGAAATAAACACCCTAGTAGCCTGCAACTTTCTCACTTTCCTATCCTGGATTTCCAACTTTTTTTCCTGCTGCTCCTGCCCCTAAGTTTTGCTTTTCTGTGAACTGGACAAGGCATCAAAGTTTCTTGATATGCTTTCCTTGTTTCTTCTGATTGGTTCAATTGCCCACAAAAAAATGAACAGTAGCTGGCACCCTGCTACTGAAAATATTTTTCAGACTTGGCCTATCCAAGAAGCATTCTAAAGGAAGAATACCAAGATACGTATATATTTCTGTTAAATTCATTCTACTGTTGGCCGGGCGCAGTGGTTCATGCCTGTAATCCCAACACTGTGGGAGGCTAAGGCTGGGGGATCACCTGAGGTCGGGAGTTCCAGCAGCCTGACCAACATGGAGAAACCCTGTCTCTACTAAGCATAAAAAATTAGCCAGGCGTGGTAGCATATGCTACTCAGGAGGCTGAGGCAGCAGAATTGCTTGAACCCAGGAGGCGGAGGATGCGGTGAACCAAGATCATACCATTGCACTCCAGCCTGGGCAACAAGAGCGAAACGCCATCTCAAAAAAAAAAAAAAATTTGGCCAGGCATGGTGGCTCACACCTGTAATCCCAGCACTTTGGGAGGCCAAGGCAGGTGGATCACTTCGAATTTGAGACCAGCCTGGTCAACATGGCAAAATCCCATCTTTACTAAAAATACAAATATTAGCTGAAACTCATCTCTACTAAAAATACAAAAATTAGCCAAGCATGGTGGCGCATGCCTATAATCCCAGCTACTAGAGGGGCTGAGGCAGGATCACTTGAACTTGCGAGGCAGAGGTTGCAACGAGCCGAGATCCTGCCACTGAACTCCAGTCTAGGCAACAGAGCAAGACTCTGTCTCAAAAAAAAAATTCATTCTCTTCAGCAAGGGTCTCATCTCTTCATTTTAGGATTAATTAACAAGGAACACTACACTTAGTTAATGAATAGTACTGCTTCTCCAAAAACTCAGTATTCTTGTTAAGTAAGCAAAGTTGATTGCCCTTCTACCAAGTCAGCTTCATATTTCTCCAATATTATTGTAAATCTCGCTCTTCCAGTCACCAAAGATCTCATCATTTTTTTATTACGCCCTGCCCCCTCAAGTATGTTACATCTTGGTTCCTATGGATTTTCTACATCCTATCCTATTTATCCTCCAATAACTAGAGCACCAGAGATCCCTCTTCAACCCTTTCATCTCTAGCATGAAAACCAGCTTCCTTCTGGCAACACTCTGCAGTTGGCTGGCTTCTACCATAACCTTGCAGAGGCTGGAAGCTTGCTCGCTCCTGAACCTGGTCATTCCACTGTTAGGAACAATGTATAGATCACCTGAGGAGGCCCTACTAATAAACAAGTTTCCTAGAGACAGAAGCTAAGCAATCAAACTAAGCAAACTACCTTTTCCTCTACCAAATAAGAAAATCAGAAGCTAAAGTGGATAAAGGCAGCCAAAGCTCAACTAACCTATAGGTATTCATTCTTCCTCACTCAATCTCAGATACTTTTAGAATTACATAAAAATAGATGAAGCCCAACCTGAACACTGGCTTCATCATAAGAATGAAACTCTAGGGTTTAATACAATCTGATTATTTTTAAATGGGGAAGAGGTCTATGACTTCAAAACCTATCACTATTTATAGGAAACACAGTGAAATGACCTAAAAGAAACACTCAAAATTAGAGGATCTTGTTACCTGCTTAAGCCCCTCTCTTGAAGGAACAGATGTTTTCACAATATCATCAATAGCCCACCACTGATCAGCAAGGTAAAGTGCCACAGCTAAAATAGAATAAATAATCATTAACACTTAAGTTTTACAGTACACTTTTAGATTTAATAAGGCTCAGAGTATCTATATAAACCTTTATCAAATAGTAATATTGTACTTTGTAGCCTCATTTATACCGTTTTTATTTTATTTCACTGATATGCTTTGGCTGTGTCCCTACCCAAATCTCATCTAGAATTATAATCCCCATAATTCCTACATGTCAAGGGAGGGACCCAGTGGGAGGTGATTGGATCATGGCAGGGGGTTCCCCAATGCCATTTTCAAGGGAATTCTCATGAGATCTATGGTTTTATCATGTTTGACTGTTCCTCCTTCACACATGCACACACACACTCTCTTGCCTGCCACCATGTAAGACATGCCTGCCTCCCCTCCTGCCGTGATCGTAAGTTTCCTGTGGCCTCCCCAAACATGCAGAACTGTGAGTCAATTTTTTGTTTCTTTTTTTTTTTTTTTTTGAGATGGAGTTTCACTCTTGTCTAAGCTGGAGTGCAATGGTGTGATCTTGGCTCACTACAACCTCTACCTCCTGGGTTCAAGCAATCCTCATGCCTCAGCCTCCCAAGTAGCTGGGATTACAGGCATGCACTACCATGCCCGGCTGATTTTGTATTTTTAGTAGAGACAGGGTTTCATCATGTTGGTCAGGGTGGTGTCGAACTTCTGACCTCAGGTGATCCACCTGCCTAAACCTCCTAAAGTGCTGGGATTACATGCATGCGCCACCACGCCTGGCTCTGTGAGTCAATTAAACCTCTTTATAAATTACCCAGTCTCAAGAAGTTCTTTATAAGAGTGTAAGAACAGACCAATACATTCATCCATCAAACATTTAACCATAAGCAATTAAGAATTACATTTTCCTAAAATTACAATTTGAAACGCATTTTATAAAAAGCAAATTCCTTCACGTAGCTACCTTTTTAATACACTTCTAACAGTAGAAAAATTCCTTAATTTATAAAAATTAAGCAAAAAGAGACCTGTCAGTGAATCCTCAGGTGCAAAGAGAGCAAGAATTTTCTGGGTCTGATCTCCACCATAAAGAGGTACAAAGCCTACATTTGACAGGCTAATAGGAATCTAAAATGACAAATGAATAAAGATTAGTGAACATCTGTTAAGAAAACACATTAAAAAAATCTTTTATCAAAGTGGTAAACTTTTCCTACATTAATTTTAATTATATAACTTTATTTTATAGGAGACATTTCTAGTCTCTAAAAAAAAAAAGTAAATCAGATAGACTTTCCTTTTGGAATAATTTTATTCTCTTGGGGAAAATATGAAAATCTGTTTCAATAAATATTACTAAGTTCTAGCCAAATAGAATAAAAACCAAAGCTACAATATGGCCCATCAAGTCATTTAAAAACAACTATAATTTATCATCTGTTATTTAGACTACTGAGGAAGACATATTCCATTTTCTAGTTTTAAAGAAAAAAAAAGCAGTCAAGTAAATTAATTTTTCCAGGAAGATACCTGCTATTAATATGCTTTAACATTTTTTTTGCCTTCATTTAATCCAACACTTATTCCCTATTTAGAGATAACAATTCAGAGAATTATAAAAATATTGGTGCTGGGGAAGACTTTAAAAAATTCTTTAAGTCATTTCCAGAAGAAAACTCCGAGGCCTAGAGAGGTTAAGGAATTGGTCCACTATAGTTCACAATTAAACTCTAATAATTCCAAGTCTAGTGATCTTTCTATCACAAAATATCATGATTTACTGACTAGAAAATTTGATGTTACTTTTTCAGAAAAAGGAAGAAAAGATTCATGGCACAAAAAATCTGTAATATAGTTTTACTGATTTTTTAACTAAAAAAATTTTCTAAATTCACAAATTCCAAGTCTAAAGTAATTCTGAAGTCGCTCAAATATAGTAAACACTCTTAGCAAAACTGGTGAACTTCTCACATATAATTTTAAAGACATAAAGACAATCAGCAATAACCTATGGACTTTCGTCTTTTTAAAAACTGATCAACTAATATTTACCCATTTTACTGAATAGATTTCTGTAGATTACAAAAATGAATGATTAACACTTAAAGTAACTTTTTTTAAAAAAAAAAAGGGTATTTATTTCATGTATAAATTGGACTGAAAAGATTGATGACAATCACTGCAGAGCACCTTACCGTAATATTGAGAAGAGAAAAACACTCTGGATTTTCAGGGTCCCCACACCTTAAATCTGACATGTAATCTTCAGCAGAATTTTCCAGTTCCTCATGGCTGCAATTTTCCAGCATATCCACAGGGAATGCCATCCTCTTTAACAAACAACATGGAATAACACGATTGAGAATATGAAATGCCATCTTCCTTTACTCAGAGAAAATAAATTTTACTACAATGTTCCATATTTATTGTAACAAGGTTTTTCTGTTTCACTATGCCCACAGACTACAACTTGAATCAGACTACTGATTTAACCACGTATGTCAAAAAGAAAACTTTCAAACATTATTCATTTATATTAAAAACAGGCAATGAAATAAACTGATACTTCATTAAATGATAATAAATACGGTCACACAGGTATAAGACATATTTATATGTACAGACACACAAAAATACACAAACAAATATACTCTCATAAACCGCTCAACATAAAAGTCACTGTAAAAGAACACAAGGGAACTTTTTAGAATAACAAAAATGTTCTACATTTGGATTGTGATGATGGCTGCACAACCTGATAAATTTCAAAAAAAAAAAAAAAAAAAACATCATATAAATTCAAAAAAAAAAAAAAAAAAAAAAAATCACTGCGGCCACAGTGGCTTACACTTGTAATTCCAGTACTTGGGAGACCAAGGCAGGTGGATCACAAGGTCAGGAGTTCAAGACCAGCCTGGACAAGACTAGTAAAGATGGTAAACCAGACCAGCCTGGACAAGGCTAGTAAAGATGGTAAACCCCATCTTTACTAAAAATATAAAAAATAGCTGGACGTAGTGGTGGTCGCCTGTTATTCCAGCTACTTGGAAGGCTGAGGCGGAGAAATGCTTGAACCCAGGAGGCGGAGGTTGCAGTAAGCTGTGATCCCACCACTGCATTCCAGCCTGGGCAACAGAGCAAGATTCCGTCTCAAAAAAACAAACAAAAAAAGTCACTGAATTATATAGTTGCAATGGGTGAATGTTATGGTATATAAATTACATTTCTCACATATACCTTTCTTTTTTTGAGACAGGGTTTTGCTCTGCCACCCAGGCTTAAGTGCTTTGGTACAATCATGGTTCTAAGTAACCTTGAACTCTTGGGCTCAAGCGATCCTTCTGCCTTGGCCTCCCAAAGCGATGGGATTACCGACACTGAGTCGCTGTGCCGGGCCTATATAGCTCAGTTTTTTTGTTGTTGTTTGTTTTTTTAAGCCAGGTCTTTAATGGGGAAACACTAAAGGCTTTACCACTAAAGGTTAGAAAAACAAGGACTCCTCTACTATATAACATTATGTAGACAAAGATCAATGCAATTAGAAAAGAGAAAGCAATTAGTGGCATAGTAACTTGGGTGAGAGTAGGGTAGAAGCAAAAAACTATTGTATCTATTATTTGCAAATAATATACTTAACTGAAAAATTCAAAAGAATCCATGAAAATAAGTATTCAAACATAAGAAAATTTAGTAAAATAGAACATGAAATTAGCATACAGAAATCAGGTCTTCATATACATAACATAACAAATAAGAAGAAATAAGGGGATGAGGGCGGCAAAAAAAAAAAGAAAAAGAAATAGAGATGAAGATCTCATTTACAACAACAAAAATCAAAATAGGCTTAAATTCAACAACAGAAACAATACAAAATCTATATGCAGAAAACTACAAAACATTACTGAAAGTGAACAAGAGGAAAGAGAAACCACATTCTTGGAAAGAAAGCTTCAGCATCATAAAAGCACCAGATCTCCCTAAAAGAATCTAATTAATTTAATGCAATCCTAACACCTTTAAGATTTTTTTTTTCCTCAAGCAAGAAAAGCTGATTATAAAATTAATTTGAAAGAACAGACAAGCAAAAATAGCTAAAAGAATGCACCCTGTCAGAGATTAAAACATCTTATAAAACTTCTATAATTAAAACAATGTGATACAGGCATGTGAATAAACAAATGGAACAAAATATAGAAATACACATATCTATGGAAATTGATTAACAATGGAGATATCTCATTTGGCAGGGAAAAGACTTTTTCAATAGGTACTATTATTTCATTGGTCTATCTTATTTTTAAATGACATTAATTTTGCTCATTTTGAACTTCTTTTTTGTTATTTTTCATTTTGAACTTCTTATATTTGAAATTATTCAGTATGCTCTTTACTGTGTTAACTTTCTTCACTCAACATTACTTCTGTGAGAAACATGAATGTTGTTGCATCTATCAGTTAACCTATTTACCCATTCTACTGCTGATGGACATTTGGCTATTTCCAGTATTTGGCAATTATGAAAATAAAGCTGCTATGAGCACTCCTGCATGAGTTTTCTGGTAGGCATACTTGGTCACTTCTGTTAGGTCTATACACACAGCCTAATCAATCTTACTAAAAGCGAGACAACCCTACTGCATCCTGATGTGATGCAACAAGAAAATCAGACCTAAATCTAACCAAGCCATCAGAAAAGTATGTTAAATGATGCCTTAAGTATGTAATCAACCAAATTTAGAATAACTCAGTTTCTTCCAAATATATGACATGAAGTTTAAAGAAAAAAAGATAGAAAAAAATGTAAATTAAAAGAAACTTAAGAGACACATCAATGCATTGTGGAGAGTATTCTGATTTGTTTACTCTTGAAAATTTCCATGAGGCCAGGCACTGTGGCTCATGCCTGTAATCCCAGCACTTTGGGAGGCCAAGGAGGGGTAGATCACTTGAGCTCAGAAGATTGAGACCAGCCTGAGCAACATAGTGAGACCTTAGCTCTA